ATATGCGCGCCGAAATCCCGGCTTCGCCGCGAGCCCTCCCCGCGGGGCAGCCGCAGCGCCCCTGCTCCCGTCCCCGCGAGCACGGCATGGCGCGGCCGGCAGCGCCGAGGGAGAGCTTCGCTCGCCGCTGAGGAGAAAGGAGGTCAGGAGAGCTCTGGAGCTTTTTTCTGCTCGGAAAAAAATCTCGGTACGCGGGAGCCCTGAGCTCGCCGAAATCCCGGCTTCGCCGCGAGCCCTCCCCGCGGGGCAGCCGCAGCGCCCCTGCTCCCGTCCCCGCGAGCACGGCATGGCGCGGCCGGCAGCGCCGAGGGAGAGCTTCGCTCGCCGCTGAGGAGAAAGGAGGTCAGGAGAGCTCTGGAGCTTTTTTCTGCTCGGAAAAAAATCTCGGTACGCGGGAGCCCTGAGCTTCTGCGGCTGGAATGAACCAAGTGTCCGCCCGACCGGGGAGAGACGCGCTGCGCTCTCGGAAATGACTCGCTCCAATCCCGCTTCGCGGGGTTCGCGCCGGGGGGCGGGGGGGTGAATTATCCCCGGATTAATCACTCCGGAGCCGCTTCTCCGCCGCTCCAAACGCTGGGGGTGGAGGCGCAGCAAAGGAAAAAATATTGGGGGGTGGGTGTTCTTCAGCGCCACCTCCACCTCCAGATAAACCACAAATTCCATCTAAAAGGTTGTTTATTTGTTTGTTTTACAATTGACCGGTTTCTTTTAAGTTCAGTTCTCTCGTTTCCATTTATAAGATCACCGATTAATATACCCCCCCATACACACGCGCACACACAAGTGATACAGACACACGCACTCACACACAGGCGGCGCGCGTGCACACACGCGCGCGCGCGCGCGCGCACACACACACACACGCCTCTCCCACGTTTGGAAACTGGAATACTGTCTGGGAAAAGGTAACCAAAGGATGCGGATCCCCAAGTCACAGCTCTTACGAGCTGATGTTGGGTTGGTGTCTTCGAACTTGCAATCTGGGGCTGGGGTGATGTTTAGGTGCCCCGTTCGCAGTAGCCTCCTTACCCCATCTCAGAAGATGGGTGTGTGTGCGTAGACCCAGGGTTAAGAATTGGAGGGTGGGTGGGGCGGGGGACCCGTTGGTTTGGCTCCGAACGGTCCTGCCTCTACCTTAACACAAAATTTCAGGATGGAGAGATGAGTGCATGTGTGCGCCGGGGTGGGTGGTGGAGAAAGGCAGGTGAGGTTGTGGAAGGAGGGTGCAAGAGTTACTTGTACGATTTATCCTCAGAATTAAATAACCAGACCTTGCTTCTTATTCTCACCCTCCCAGCCTTGGCCCCAAACCAGGCGAGTTTCTCCCAATGGCGTGAGCCGCTCTCTACCTCTCCCGCGTCGCGGTTGCTGCCAGGCCCCAAGGGCTCGGCGTCGGTCCCCACCCCATCCCCCACCCCTACTCGGTCGCCGTCGCTGTCTCGTCTCCCCTAGGCTCCTCCGTCAGTCACGATGGCTCCCTCGCTATCTACGCCAAACTCCGGATGAGAGGGAAGAGACGCTGGGGCGGGAGGGGAGGTGGGAAGGTAAAGCTAGAAGGGACCCGGAGGGGCGAGGCCAGGGGAGTATCTCCCCCGACCCCCGCTGGCTTGCCCAGCAGAAAGACACTAGCCGGTGAGCACCCCACCCTCTTCTCCCAGAGACACCGAAAGAGGCTGCGCTCGGAGCTGTGAGGTTTGGCCAAGCCGAAGCTCTGGCGTCTGCGAGCCCAGGGGGCAGAGGCCTGGGAATTTCCGGGAAAGAGCGTGGAAAGGGCTATGGGTTTGCCAGTCCCGGGTGATGAGGGTGGCGGGCAGGGCTGGAGGGTGGGTGCTTGCCCTTGCTCCCCAGAGCCGCGATCTCCTGGCTTCCCTGATGTCCGTCTCCTTCCTCTACCCCAAGTTGTTCCGATGGCCCTGCCGTGAGCCTGTCTCACAGCTGGGGGGCTAGCAAGCTTCTACAGAATTGCTGGCCCCGTCCCCACCCCCAACACACTTGTTTTCTGGCCCCTCCCGACGCTGCTTTGGTGGGTGCCAAGAACCAACCAAAGCAGCCAGAACTCCTCTGTGAAAGGCCTGCTTTATGTCCCCGGGGCAGCGGGGAGGGGGCTTGCCGCTTACCATTGTCCATGCCCAACCCCCAAAGAGAGGGCTCAGCCAGCCATGACTGGCCGAGGCCCTACCAGCCCTGAAGAGGAGGGAGGGACAGGGACTGGCTGAGTGGTGAGTGGGTGGTGGCCTTGGGGGAGGGGTGGAGGCTGTTGGCAGCATCTTCCCTGGGATGGACCCCATGGCTCCTAAGCTGTGGCCTTCCTCCTCTCCTGCAGTCCAGGTTCTCCAGAGAGGAGCTGACAGAATTGCCCAGCCCTCCCCAGCAGCCCGCAGCTGGACAGATGAGAGTCTGGGCTGCTCTATAATTCTGAAGCAGGCTCCAAGCCAGTGGACTTCCCCCACCCACTTCTCAGACCCAGAACTTTGTGGCTGTCCCCCAGAGCTGATATTTACTCCCAAAACTGTCCCTGGCAAAAGGAACATTTGTCATCTTTCTCCCTGGGGGCTGTAAAAGACAAAAGTACCTTGTTATCCTTATAACTAGCCCAATTACTTACTCCCACCATTCATCCCTCTCTGATTTATTTGGGCCCACATACCTTTACTGAGGCTTCCTGGGCTCTGGGCCCTGTGCCAGCCTGTGCCGTGGGCAAGGCAGAGATGTACAGTGTATGGTCTGGGTTGGAAAGATGTGGGGAAGAAATAGAAACCCACACACAACCCATACAGTCAGGCAATGATAATCACCATGACAGAAGGGGCATGATACAGAGACATATCAAGACAGTAAGCCTTTCCTAGACTTGGGGATTGGTAGGCTAATTTAAAGAGAAAAGTAAAATTTTGGCTGGACCCTGCGGCCTCGATAGAGACTTTGAGATTTGTTGATTTAGTCAACAAATATTTTTTGAGGATCATTACATGCTGGACACTGTGCTAGATAATGAATATACATTCAAGTGAACAGTTCCTGGCTTGATGAAGGTAAAAGATAAATAAATATATATAAAGTTACTAAGAATGCTAAGAAGTTCATGATGCTGTGAAAAAGAATTGGGGTGTGTGTGCATAGTTTAAATAGGTGGTCTGGGAAGGCCTCTCTGAGGTGGTGACCTTGATGGTGGGATTGAAAATTAAGCAAGACAGCCATGCAAAGAGTTGAGGAAAGGACTTTTCATATAGAAAGCATGGGCAAGGCCCTGAAAAGGGAAGGGGACCGGGAGAAGGTGGGTAGAGCTAGATTAGATGAGCAAAAGGGAACACCTAGGAGATGAGGGTGGGATCAGGGCCAGAGCCATAGCACGAGAGTCTCATCGGGGATGGTGGGGAGTTTGGATTTTATCCTTAGACAGGGGGAAATAGGAGGTATATTAGTTTGCTACAGCTGCCGTTCCAAAAGTACCACACACCAGCTGGCTTAAACAACAGACATTTATTTCTGGAAGCTAGAAGTCCAAGATCGAGGTGTAGACAGGGTTGGCTCCTCTAGGTCCTCTCTCCTCTCCTTGTAGATGGCCTCCTAATTATGTCTTCACATGGTGTCCCCTCTGTACATGTCTGTGTTCAAATTGCCTCTTTTTACAAAGACACCAGTCATATTGGATTAGAGCCCACCCTAATCTCATTTCAACTTGATTACCTCTCTAAAACTGTGTCTCAAAATATAGTCACATTCTTGGGTACTGGGAGTCAAAAGTTCAACATTAGAATTTTTTTTGTTGTGGTGGTAGGATAGGAAAGACACAACTCAGCCCATAACAGGAGGAGAAGACTTTTCAGGTGGAGGAGAGAGAACAAATGCATGACAGTTGGAATATATATTTTAAAAGATATCTGTTAAAGCTGTACATAGCAGGAGAGACTCTGGAAAGGTGGGTAGCTCTGAATACCAGAGTGGTGGATTTCTCACTTCTAAGAAATAGGAGCCAAATGGCACAGGCTGGCATGTACTCTGACTTCTCTGTGGGGCATAGATAGGAAAGGAAGGGGCAAGAAAAAGGGAGATCACTTGGGAGGTTACTGCCGTAGTCTGAGCTGGAAGTGATATGGGCAAAGGCAGAGATGGAGGCCTTGGAAATTTTTGCAGGACAAAGGGGAGGCAGGAATCCAAGAGATGATAACCTTGCCTAGGAGAACTTGACTCTCAGCCCAGCCCCCAAGGCTGGCTCCCAGCCTGCCCCTATAGTTCTCCCCAGGAGCAACAGGCAGCCATGGGTCAAGGTCACACCACACTATCACATTGTGAAAAAGCTGAATGAGGTATAGTGACTCACCAAGATAAGCCTAATATCCAGATAAGATCAGAGTTTGTTTCAGAAAGAAAACAAGGCCTGATGCTCTGGAGAACTTGGCCTGATTCTTTAGGGTCTATAGACTTGATGCCCTGAAATTTTCATTCTGACCTAAGCAGAAAATAAAAGCCTCTGAAAGAGAGAGAGATCTTCTGCAAATGGGATGCTCTAGCAATGAGGGCAAGAATGGAGGCTGAGGGCCGAGCAGGAGTGCAGAGAAGGACTGCAGAGCAAAGGTGAAAGCTCAAATGAAAAGCCTGGGGTCTGAGTGGAGGGTGGAGATTTGAAATCCTGAGCAAGATCAGACAGCAGCTAGTATTTCCCAAGGGCGAAGATGTCCCTATAGGGATGACAATGATCTGCTTCCCAAAGTAACAGAAGGGGTTGAGGAAGAAAAAGTCCAGAACAAACTGTGGAGAGGCTGTGGGCCTCAACAACCAGGAGGGAGAAGTGGGAAGAGCCCACAGTCTGTGCCGTTCTTCCAATGCTACGAAATGCTGGGCCCTCCAGATTCTGACAATACTTGCAGAAAAGTCTCCATTTGTGAAACCAGGAAAGAGCTCATGTCAGTGGCAAAAGAGGTAGAATTTTTCCTGGGCTTGTCAGAGGCCATAATCTACAGGAGGGAGAGGCTGTTCTAGGCTGTCATCTCTATTTGAAGGTCCTCCAATCAGCCCTGCCATCGTGCCTCCTTGCCTTTACTCATGCTGTTTCCTCTGCAATACCAGTTCCCCTCTCATTGTGGGGAGTAAATGATTCCTAATCGTCACCCAGCTCAAGTGTCACCTCCCCAAGGTAGCCTTTCTTGTATTCTTATGTCCTCCCCACACTTCCTGCTGCGTTAGATGCCCCTTGCAGCAT